TTCACTGATTTTCACTATTCTGGGATATTAAAAATCTTCATCTCACCCACAAAATGGCTGATAGGAACAGAAACAACAACGATCAAAAGAGATATTTTTGGTAGGACTTTTGGTAGACTGCTTTCTCAATCCTAAACTTGTTTGTATTAAAAATTAATTGTGACAATGAATATTCATATTTCAACAAAATATGATAAAGGAAATAATACTATATAACAAAGGGCAAGGTCACCAGAGTTCAACTATGTTTTTGAAATGCAATAACAATATGTTAATAATAAAATTAGATAAATATATTAATACTAATAATAAAATGATCGTAATACTCATGTACAAACACAATAGACATTAATTATAATGCAATTTTGGAAAATTATTGAAATTCCCCATGATGCTTACATAAAAAAATAACAATTATAATAGTACTTGTAATAGAAAAATAAAAAAATAATTTTTAATAAATGTATAATACCCTTAGTGATATATACATGTATATCTAGGCTTAGCTATACTGCATGACTGGGCATATAAATAATCACCATGATGTACCTTGTAATGTGTTCCTATTTGATATGCATATAGCTTACTTGTCAAAATGTATATGTACACGACTCCCAGGAGGTCTCACTCCTGTTTAATGCTATTAGTCTATTTACACACTTCACATTTCAGTCAAAGTAACTACTGGGTCTATTAAATGGCAGGTAGAGGACCCTGTTAGTTTATGTACACAAGGCTTGAACTTCATGGAAGCTTCAAAGCTTTGATGCTTAATGAGTTTCAATTGGTGTCCCTTAGTATTCCCCATGTTGTCGAGCAGCTTATCATATGAGTGATTGTCCGTCGACGTTGTAGTCTGTCGTGCATGTCAATGTTTTCATTTTTTGACTTCTTCTTGAAAACTACAAGCCTGAATGCTTTGATACTTGGTGTATATGTACCTTGGGTAGACCTCTCTCAGATTTGTTCATTTCATGATGATATCTACAATTCTCTAGTTTTGGTGAATATTTTTCTCATTTTTGGTAAAAAGTGATATTTTCGACTTCTTGTTAAAAACCGCAAGTCCAATTGCTTTGATACTATACATATTGTTCATTTTCTAATGATATCTTCTGTTCTTTAATTGCAATGTGCATTGCTAACAGCGGAGCTATCTCAGTCTGGCTGCTTTTCTCCTTAAAAAAACTGAATTATAACCTCTCAGTTCAGTAGTATTTTACAAGTTTTTGCATTTTCCATGATTACTGTAACAGTAAAACTTAATTTTCTTTGTATTCATTTATTAACTTTTTTGTGATTAGATAACACAGGTAAAAACTGCAGAAAATATGTCATTGTCATCATTCATGATGCTGGATTCTCACATACCCTGTGATAAAATAAGTGCCAGAGTGAAAATACTTCATTCTGTGAGATGATGCTTGTATGTGAGTAACATTTCATAAAAATATTGTATATTTTTTGTTTCCAGACCATAAAGAAAATGGAGCCTCAGTTTATAGCTTTACACTGTCAGGAAGTTGGTGGCAAGAACTACCATGATAGTATGCAACATATCAGCACGTTCACCAGGTACGGTAATTACTAAGTTATCACTTACACTCGAGACTACCAGTGATCAGCAGGATTTGAACTTCATAAAGGCATCTTCAGCATCATCTTCAATTTGTCTTGATGTGCTTCGAGGAGTACAGATTTTCTCTGTACTCTTTCTAAGTTGTGCGGCACTTATCAATTTTTTTCTCAAAAAAGGTTGCCCGCCCAAATCTGATATTTACATGTACAACTGTACCTCTGGCATACAGTGTAGTAGTGATCTTGATTTTATGTTTGGAGTATGAAGTCATTGTAATAAATTATTATTTGTCAAAGTTAACTTACATCACCTTTAAACAAAATGAAACTAACAGACGATTTTTATTCAATTTGTTCAAAATTATTTAACTACATCATACTGTCTGGCGTATGTTGGGTTTGGAGCACCACAGAGCGCGCAACTCCCCTGACCTTGTCAGGCTACCAATGGAAGAGTATTTTTTTTATTTGAAACATGAGGGTCTTCTGGGGTAAATGTTTTATAAATTTAAAAAAAAAAATATTCATGAAGTTCACTGTATTTCAAAACCAAGATATCCTTTCTTAGATTATAAAAATTGCAAGCAACCATCAGTACACAGGGCTGATATGCTAACCACTGCACCAAATAGTCGTCTTTATTTGCAATGAAGCAAAATTGGATTCATGGGAAGACTCACAACATGATTGCCACTACGTGTGTAATTACACACATTGCCAAATCTTGATTGGCTCCTTCTTCGATTAATATCTTAGAAGTTCAATGAAAACCTAATGATTAAACTTAAGATTTCTTCTTCCAGATTACTCCTAGAAAGTGAAGAAATGAAGTCATACAACAGAGCTAGGATATATCTGGATGATGACTATAAAACAGAAGAAAAGTTCACCGTAAGTTCTATTAAAATGATGGTGTTGTGGACCCAAGGCCATTTCTGATAATTCCCCTCTATGCTGGTCATTGCACCATAGAAATTTACCCTTAACCGTGTTGTGGACCTAGGGCTGTGTGTGATAGTTTCTGCATCTGGTGATTACATCACAGAGGTTAACCCTTGACGTATTTTAGTTAACATTTTTGTAACAAATTGCCAGACATGGGCTGTTCAAATTCTGGTTTTTGTGCTCAGCACCTACCATTAATATTTATTAAAATTAAGAGAACCGGTTTGTTGTGTTGATAGTAAAAATATCTGATAATACAATAAGTGTAAACATGGGTTTGTTGACACATCACGAGAAATAGGCCATCATACTTGTTTTCGTTCTGCACACATGCACAGTTACTGGTTGGCAAGAGCCAGTTATTCGCACTCGCAGATATATAATGCCGTTGTTCACTGCTGTTGTTATTATATGTCATAATGTGTTCCTGTTAATAACACAACTTATAGACAATGTTATCACCGCAGATCGCGAGCTAGTGTTGATCAGTGAGCAACATTTGTTATCGCACTTTCGCATGCTGCTTGGCAAAAATGTAAACATGTGACGTCACAGTGCCAATACTTTTTACAATTGTCACAGAAATTTCAATGAAACCAGAATGTACCAACTCAAAACATCATGGCATAATAAGAATGATCATTCATTGGTCTACAACTGTAAACCGGATTCCAAACATATTTAGATTTGCTTTATTGCCTCTTTAATGGTTTGATTTACAATGAGAATACCTGACACTCACTTCAACAGAATTGCAAATGCATAAATAGTTATCTTTTCCAAATACACACTATTTGTATTGTGATGACATCTTGTTTTAAAAGTACATGTAGTTCCTAAATTTACAAGTTTTATGCAAAGGGTTGCATCATTTCTTTTATCCTTGTTGAAAAAACTTATGCGTATACATGGATGTGTTCTGTTTACATGTGTGGTGTTTGTGGACATCCTTGGCATCTGTGAGGCATGTTTGTGTACCTACGTCAGAGAGCTGAAACTGATATGTACTGTAATGTTTACGTTTTGTATATATCTGATTCATGGCATGGCATTTATCCAATCATATAGATGTTATCAATTGAAATTTCAAAATATTTTAATCCAATCGAAATCCCCTGCAACACAGCAGGGTCATCGTTGTCTCCATTATTTTGTTATAGCAAGAGTTATTGTGTTTTCTGCATCTGCCTTGGGCATCCTCCATAAATGCAGTATTCCTCATCTCCCTGAATTGAGTTATTTTATTTTCTAAGTATTTGCTTGAGGTGATGTTCATGTAGCAACGTTAATAATAATAAAGTATTTGATTTAGGAGTGTAAGTCATAATGTCAAGCTATATTCTGTTCTTGTATACTGGTGTTATTAATTCTCTGTAAGAGAGCATGACATGTTATTGACCAACTTGTATTTATGGTTAAATTGTTATATTAGTCTCTTGAGATGTACTGGGAAAATATATATTTTCCATTTCAATTTAAACTTTTCATGATATGGAATATTTGATGTCAAATGATTTATATAGTACATATACTTTGTTCATGTTTTGTTTTCTGTCAATTTGTTGTTGATTAGTTGGTAGCTGTCAATTTGTTGTTGATTAGTTGGTAGCTGTCAATTTCTTGTTGATTAGTTGGTAGCTGTCAATTTGTTGTTGATTAGTTGTTAGCTGTAATTTTGTTGTTGATTAGTTGGTAGCTGTCAATTTGTTGTTGATTAGTTGTTAGCTATTTTGTTGTTGATTAGTTGTTAGCTGTCAATTTGTTGTTGATTAGTTGGTAGCTGTCAATTTGTTGTTGATTAGTTAGCTGTCAATTTGTTGTTGATTAGTTGTTAGCTGTCAATTTGTTGTTGATTAGTTGTTAGCTATTTTGTTGTTGATTAGTTGTTAGCTGTCAATTTGTTGTTGATTAGTTGGTAGCTGTCAATTTGTTGTTGATTAGTTGTTAGCTGTCAATTTGTTGTTGATTAGTTGGTAGCTGTCAACTTGTTGTTGATTAGTTGTTAGCTATTTTGTTGTTGATTAGTTGTTAGCTATTTTGTTGTTGATTAGTTGTTAGCTATTTTCTTGTTGATTAGTTGTTAGCTGTCAATTTGTTGTTGATTAGTTGGTAGCTGTCAATTTGTTGTTGATTAGTTGGTAGCTGTTTTGGTAATTGGTTTCATCAACCATGTGTGGCGCATGCGTCAGTCAATTTCATTCATACTTGATAGGGTAATCATACTCATGTCTTACTCATGCACAGAATTCATTTCAACATGGTGATTTTGTTTCATATGTGCCATATTGTTATAATTATGTTCGGGCATAATTTATCCTGTGAAAACTAGTTAATTATCAACAATCTAGTGATCTCCTTTCCACACAATGTATTGCCTTCTCTATTAAAAGCACAACTTTAATAATTGTTAGTCCCTGTTCGGAAGCCGTTTGCCAGGGCATTGTTTCTCAATATGGACTAGTACATGTACTTGTTTGAGGATCAGATACAAGATGACTGAATGTCAGTCATTTTAATGTTAAAACATCATAACCAGGCATCAGCTTCAAGATCCATATCTCTGACATGTTTATGTCCCAACTATATTACTATAAACAAAACTATGAATCTTAACAGGGGTTTTTCTTGAAAAAAAATGCAAGAGGGAGCACTGCAATTCAGCAGCGCCATCAAGTGGGGACATAGGGTTCTCCCTACCAGGGTGTGGAGTTTTTCAAGTTAAAATGGAGCATTCTGTGGCTTCCTTGGGGCCATGCATGCCTTGTTGTTCTTGCAATTGTCTCTAAAACATTATTTCGTGACATTTGGTCATCACCATATGGTTATATTTAGATACAAAAAAGTTCAAAATCACAACTATTGTCGCTTTTATTATGACTATGTTGAAAGTGTTATTAGTTCAGACAAATGTGTCCATATAAAAAAAACATAACCAAAAATAAATAAATAGAAGAACAGAACACACTTAGTTCACTGTGGTACTAAAAAATCACACAAAGTGTCAGTAACAATGATACATTAATCACTTATGTATTACTAGTAATGGATTGTGCCTCTTTAGAATTAGTGTTTTTATTATGAAGCTGAAAGCTGTGAACCAAAACCAATCAGCATAGTCCTCAGGCAGCTACTTCATCTCATTCTCCTCTATGTGTGGTGCTCCTTAACTCATTGCTTTCTCTGTGTTAAGCCCCTTTAACCACTCATCCATTCCCAGCCACTCAAGTTAAATTTATTGTATGTTGCTAAAAGATTTTAGATCTATCGGTAAATCTATTCTCAGTTATTCTTATAATTTGTCACCAATTATTTACCGTAAAAGTTTCAGTTTTAGAGTAAAAGTCAGTGCTTATCATTTGTTGTTACCGTAAAAGCAAAATTCCCATCGAACACAATCACTTTGCAGTGTTTCATGGCCAGGAAAAAAGAAAGGAAACATATTAGAAATACGACTTCTTAGAAATTTATAAAGACAATGAATTGAGAAAATCTGCTGAATAATAAGGTGATAACATTTATAAAATAGGCGAAATTTTATTACAGTAATTATGTTATGGTTCGTCTATGATAATAATTGTGAGGTCTGTATACATGTATTTGTGTAAATATTCACTTATAACTTGTTACAAATCTCACTTTGATGTCCAAATAAGGCAAGTGAATGGATGAAATTTTGGTCTAAAATGCAAAAAAGTTGTTATTTGTATTACCGATTCAATTATTCTATTAACCCGATAGATGACTAGCTTAAGTGTTTAAGGCTCAGCATATGAAATAGCGCCCTCTTTGGCCAACATTTTTTATTATTAAACGTAGTATATAATAACCATGTGACTTGTTCTTGAAATGAAATATTTAGGTTATAAGTCCAGATTTAATGTTTATAATATCTCATATTCAAATGAACAGGAAATTCTGGTCACTGAAAACTTTTATAACCACTTATAGATTTTCAGATGTTCATAGTAGACATCTTTATTGAACAGCTCTTTTCAAACTTTCAACCACACCATCACCAGGGTGTACCACCATCATGGTGTAAAACCACTAGGATACATTATCACCATGGTGATTTCAAGCCTCAGTTTGTTGAATTTCATCCACATTTGTTGGTAATAATCAATCAAAATATACTGTCAATATATCCTAATTTTGCTTTATTTTGACAGTAGAAATGCATGCAAAACTGGTTCCTTCAGTTATTGTTGTGATCCAGCACTGGAAATGTACAAGTGTGTCATATTGTATACACACATCATGATTGGAGAAGTAGTCACAACCTGGTATGGCTCTATTGGAAAACTGATATAAGAAGATAGTTGATAGTCTGGTCTGAAATGTAATAGATATTGGCCTCATTTATTCACCATTCTGCAAAATGTTTTACATTCTGTTCCTGCATAAGCAAATATAAAATTCCATATATATGTAACCGGCCTTTAACACCGGGCCCAGGTACGCTATGCCAAATGATGGTCACCACACTTATTATCATTCACAACTTATTTAATAATTATTCAGTCTTAGGATTACTAACACACAAAAGTCAGTCACGTTCATGTCGAGTGCAGTCACCTAAGGAGAATGTACCGACTAATTGTAACAAAACAAGGTCCACCTTGTCGGTAACCAGCAAGTTAGATTAGAGTGGTCAATTCCAATCAATCCAATTTTTCACCGAATACTTCAGGTACACTCTCACCTGTGTAATGTATACACGATAGTAGAACAACCAATAATGGCAATAGACTATTATACAACAATATGCAAAACAGTGGCACCTGACTTGCGGTAATATGCACACAGGTACAACCCGGTAGGAATAGATTAAGTGCTGATCACACTACTGGTAGTTAGGCAGGACATGTTCGCAGATACATTTAACAATAATATAAAATACAATTAACAAATCACTACAGTTCACTATAATCTCTTCATATATAGGA